TGTGGTCCTGGGGGCGGACGGGCGGGGGTCACGGCCTCGCCGCGGGGCCGACCCCGGGCTCCGAGCCCCCTCCCCAGGCGGGCAGCGGCCCACCTGCGTCTCGAGCTCCACCACGCGCTGCCGCAGCTCGCGGCCCTCGGCCAGAGCCTGGGCCTCGCGCAGCCGCACGCTCATCAGCTCGTCCTGCAGCTCGCCCAGGACCAGCTTCCGCGGGGACTCCTTCCAGCGGCCGCCGCGGGACAGATGGGCCTGCGGGGAGAGGTCGGCGGTCGGCCTCCGCCAGGGAGCCCCGAGGCCGCTTCGTGCGCGTCGGGCGAGGCCCTCCCTCACCTGCCAGGTGTCCGAGAGCTCCTGCAGCTGCAGTTTCAGTTCCCGCGCCGAGGCCACGGCCTCACCCTCCCGCACCTTGAGCGCCTTCAGCTCCTCCTGCAACCGCGCCACGTTGCTCTCGTCAGGCAGCGAGCTGTTCCTCTGCGGGAGAGGAGCGCTCAGGGCCCAGGGGGGCTGCGCAGCCCCGTGGCTCTTCCCGCAGGCCCCACGCCCCGGCGCTCCTCTCCTCTGCGCTCCTCCTTGGGTGGCCCGGCTGGGAGAGGGAGCACCCTGGGCCCCAGGATGCGCCGGGGGAACAAGGACCAGGCCCGAGGCGGGGAGACACCGCCCTTGCCGCCCCAGCTGCACATTCTGGTCTGTAAAATCGGTGTAATAACTGCACCTGCTCTCTGGCACGACTGGCCTGGGGCAACCCCCTCACAACATGTGACTGCTAGTAACACTGGGTGGGCTGGGACAGGACGGGTGCTACCCGCCTGGGAATCTGAGATACACACCCTCCGGGCCCAGACCCGGGACCTGGCCCAGCTGGAGCAGAGAAGACTGTGGATTTCAGCACTGTCTCCCAGGGGATGGACTGAGGGCCGGCTTAGGCCCTATCCTGGCCTCCCAAGGGCTCAGTGATGAGAGATTCGTGCTCCAGGCTCTTGGACCAAAAGCCAACTCGCTGCATGATGTTCTCCCTGACCCTCGTTTGAGTCTGGGAGTTGGGCTTGGGGGGTGGTGGCAGACCTACTGGGCCCACATTTCCCTCTGATGTGGAGGGAGTGGGGTGGAAAGCCCAGCTCTGGGCAGGCGGGCAGTTGGGGGCCGAGAGGCCGATGGCCCCATGCAAGGCTGTGGCAGAGACACCCAACCTGGGAAGGCACCCAAAATATTGCAGCTTGGAGGTGGGGGCATGGCTCCTGCCAGTGGGTGAGTGCTGCCCTCTGGTGGCCGGGGCACCTCCCTTCTGGCAGCGCCTTGGGAATTGAGACAATAACCGGTGTGGAAGGAGCTGGGAAGGGACCAAGAGGCCTGGTGCCCCCTGCAGGGCTGCAGGTGGGAGAGGATGGCCCCCTGGGTGGTGTCTCCATGGAGGGGAGCAGCCCTGATGGGCCTGGGCCTTGGCCTTCCCTTCCCCCTCTCCATCCTGGAACCCATGGCCTGAGGGGGACACATACAGCCCAAGTAGCCCATGAAGGCCACCACACTGGTGGCCTGGTGCCTGGCACATGAGGGCGGGCACACCCCTTGTGGAGTCGTGTTGCTTTTTGTATGCTCGTGTGTGTGTGTGAGTGTGTGTGTGTGTGTGTGTGCGCGTGTGTGTGTGCGCGCACGCACATGTGTACCTCCAGGGCTTGAGAGGGTCTGAGGGTGAGGGGCCCAACTTCCCATCTGCCCTGACCCTGGTGTGGAGACCAAGGAGAAGGAGGCAGGGGCCGAGGGAGGTGCCCTGAGCTCCTTGGGGGCTGCTGGGGCCGGGGGCTCTGACTCCAGGGCCTGTCCCACTGGTTCCCCTGGCCACCCCTTCTCCTTGGCTAGGGCCTCTTGTCACCTCCCCTTCCCCAGGGTTCCCCCAGCACCTGCCCAGTCGCACCTTCTCCATGTCTAGAACCTTGTCCTGCATCTCCCGCAGGGCCCCCAGGGTCTCAGTCTCCCGCAGCCGTGACTGCTCCAGCTCCGTCTCCAGGTGGGCCACAAAGTCCTCGGTGAGGCGCGGGTTATCCTGGGGGCAGGCAGAGGGCTGCGTTGGGCTCCAGGCTGTGGCCAGAGGGGGGCAGCCTTCCTGCCAGCCAGCTGCGGGCCCAGGCCTGGCCCCACCCCGTCCACCTCCAGGGCTGGGCTGTGGGTGGAGAGGGCCGTGAGGAGAAACTCCGGATCCGGCGGAGGGGCCGGATGCCATGGGGGCCCTGATGCTCTGTGTCTAGGGGTCCTGGGAACAGAGGGGACTTTCCATGGCCTCAGGATGCCATGGAAAGGGACACCAGTGACTGGTTCCCAGGATCACTGGGATGAGGATGGAGGGTGAGTTCTCTGGGGACCCCTTCCTGCTGTGTGGCCCGTGGCCTAACCACAGGGTGAGGGCGGCATGGGGCAGATGGGGAAAGAGCTTGCTGAGACTCCTTTCTTGGTCAGTGCCCAGGGGCTTCTCAAAGGTACCCTAGGAGTCCCAGGGGTGATGGGTGGGCCCAATAAAGAAGAACTGGCCATGGGACTTTCCTGGCGGTCTTGTGGTTAAGACTCCGCACTTCCACTGCAGGGGGCACAGGTTCGATCCCTGGTCGGGGAAATAGGATTCCGCATGCCGCGTGGCGCAGCCAAAACAAAACAAACCTGGCCAGTGGGGGAGGGCAGCCCCTGGGGTCAGAGCGGGGCCTGCATCTTGCTGGCTGGGGAGCCTGGCAGGTCAGTTGCCACCCTCTTCCCCCACCTGTCTAGCTGCCCAGGTCTGCTCGCTGCCCTTGACCACTGGGAGTCTCTGAGGCCCATGGGTACCAGTGGCTCTCCCTTGGCTCAGATGGGCTCCGGGCCCCATGCCAACCTCTTGCCGGGCTGCACCTCCTCCAGGAGCCTCTGGAGACGGTGCTCAGGGGCTGCACTGGCACCTCCCGCACTCCCTCCCTCTGCCTGCAGCGGCCTCCCTGCTTCACCCAGCTCTGATCAGGCCCTAAAGGCCAGAGCTCAGAGGTGGCAGGTGAATACCTCTCTGACTGGCCTGAGAGGGGGCATCATGCCATGGGTGGGGTTAGCCCAGCCTCAGTTTCCCCAATGGCCTGGCTGCTTCAGAGCCAGGTGGGGCTACAGCACTCAAAGTTGTGGGGCAGGAGGTGGATGCAGGTGAACAACGGTGAAGTTCCACCCCCCTGTACCTGGGAGCAAAGAATCAGCTTGCATCCCTCAGGCCAGGTCTCCAGGCCTGGGTGAGGGGGCCCTCCTCAGCGAATGACCCTTCCGTCTCCACCCACTGTTTCTTGAGCACCCTATGGTTTCTCCAGATCAGGGACCCCCCCCCCAACACCCCTGCCCCCAGCTCACTGCCAGGCCCTGCTGGGTTCAGCCCTGGATCGCAGGGAGCCTACAGCATCCTTCCCTGCCCCTCTGGGACCTGTGCTGGGGCATGTATGCTGAGTTTGCAGGCTGCAGCTGCTGGTGGGTTGCCACATAAGGCAGGCAGCCTGCTGGGTACAGCTGGAGGAAAGTTCTGAAAGCCCTCTCTGGGAGAAGCGGACTCTCTGCAGTGCTCCAGCCCATGGGTCCTCCCACTACCCATCCGAAGTTCATGACCCCACAACAGACTTGGGCGGCCCCCTCACCCCCATCTCACCGGCTCAGACTGGTGGGCACAGGCCAGACCCTCTTCCGAGGGCAAAGTGCTGGGCGCTGGAAGGAGTTACCCTCTCCCTTGTCCCAGCTCCTGCCCTGCATGGCTGGCCCCCCCAGGGAAGCCCTGAAACTGAGTCCCCCTAAAGCTGAGTTCCCCTGCCAAGATTAGGACTAACCTCTCCATCCAAAACTTTACTGCCTTTCTGTGCCACCCCTCCCCCCATCAGGATTGACAAGTTTCAAAGAAAAGGGGGGATTGAAACCGAGCAGGACCCTGTGGGGCCTTCCTGGGTACAAAAACCCTTTGGTGTCCCCGTTGCTTGTTTGTAGAAAAAGGCTTTAGTCTCCTAGGCCTTCCCTGAGTTCCAGAACGCAGCAAGCAGTTAATGATGAGGACAGCAGGTCACAGGACGCCTAGGTCCTCCTGAAGGGACACAGATATAACCATCTGACACGGATCTCTGAGCTGTTCTGCAGGAACTGGGACCCCCAGCCAGGTGGGGGACAGTGACTACATGCTGACCACAAGCATGCACACCCCCACCTGGTTGGAATTAGAAGGCTGATGACGAAGATTCCTGAAACATCACCCTGTTACCTCCCCACCAACCAATCAGAAGGAGGTCCATGAGCTGGTCATGCATCCTAGGACCCTCTCCCCTAACACCGTCTTTACAAACCCCTGCCTAAAAGCCATTGGGGACTTTATGGGTTCTTTTGAGCATGAGCTGCCTGTTCTCCTTGTTTGCAACAGATGCTTTACTTTCCTTCGCCACAACCCAGTGTTGGTGGATTGGCTTTGCTGCATGTCAGGTGAGCGGACCCGGGTTTAGTTCGATAACAGCCCAACAGCCCTTCAGACCCTGGGGAGACACCAGGGCTTCCCCAAGGAATCACAGCCCCATCGGAGGGGTCCCGGCAGGGACAGCTGGTTCCCAGGGACTCTTGTGCTGAGACTGGGGGCCGGGGAGGGTGACTGCCTTCCTCTCAGTGTGGAAGGCCAGACATCCTATTGTGGGGTGGGAAACGGAAAACACGGGATCGCCCCTGGGTGTGGGGCTGTTCGCTGCTGAGGATGGGGGAGAATCTGCACTCTGCTCTGCGTCCCCTGCCCCCCAGCAAGGAACAGGCGGGCCAGGGGCTGAGGCAGGGCTGATTTGGAGCCATTTGCTCAAGAGCCCTGCAGGCAGCTGGGCACGGGGCGTGGCCTGGCCCTGGTGGCCCCGCCCACCCAGCCTGCTACCTGCTGCTCCTGCAATTGCCGGATGGTGCTCTGTGCCTTCTGCAGGTCCTGGGCCGCTGAGCTGCACTGCTGCCGCACCACTGCCAGCTCCCTCTTGATGACGTAATTCTCCTCAGCCTCCTGCGCTCGTGTCACCTGCCCCTGAGCACAGCGAGGACAGGGGGCCGTGACCCTCTGCTCACACCCCAGGCAAGGCCCAGAGAGGGTGGAGGTGGGGTGGAAGAGGGGTGAGGCCTCCCACACTCAGAGCCTGGGATGGGGCGCCCCACGGGGCCTGGGGATGGGGGGACCGGCAGGAACAGGACACTCTGGGAGGAACCTGGAGGAACACAGCCACCCGGGGCCCAGGCTCTGGCTCTCAGCCTCTGTCCCAGGTGAGGAGAAAGAAGTCCTTATCCAGGGCACATGGCACAGCAGAGGCTGGGCTCTGCTGGTGACGCTGGGGATGTGGGGGTAGCCAAGGGCCCAGAGGCTAGCTCCTTAGGGCCAGGTCGGGGGGTGGGATACAGCTCTCGTGGGGCCTTCTCCAGTCCTGGAGCCCGGGACTTCGACCCGCCCAAGGTCCCCCCTGCCTCATCCCTTCAGCCCACCCAATTTAGGCCCCCCATTCCAGGCTCAGAGCCACTAGGTAGTGGGCAGAAGCTTCCAGATAAAGCCATTCAAGATGAGGCAGCAGCAGAAGCAGGTGAGTGAAAGAAGATGGCAGGCCTTGCGAGTAGCTTCAGCCATTGCAAGCCACAGGCAGAAGTTGAATCATGTGGGAGGGGTGTGTGTGTGTGTGTGTGTGTGTGTGTGTGTGTGTGTGTGTGTGTGTGTGTGTGTGTGTATTGGGGAGGCTCAGCCGTGCACACACCAGGGCCTGTTGCTGATGCAGCCTCAGGGTCCCCGAGCCCTCCTGGGTCCCCATCTGTGTCCCCTGGAGGGAGGAAACCTGTGCATGTGCGCGTGGGTACACTCACAGATGCGCCCACACGCACCACGCGTTCACACGCATGCCCCCTCCCCCAGAGGGAAGCCTCTGTCTCCCGGGAGAAGCGGTCCCCAGTCACCCCCATGCGCAGCTCCAGGCCTGCCCCCCTCACCCACCAGGGGATGGCAGCGGCCAGGGAAGAGGTGGTGTGGTGGTCATGTGCGGGGACCAGGAAGAAGTGGGAGCGGGAGACGAAAAGCTACAGTACCTGGATTAGCCTATCAGCCAGAGCAGCGCTCTCCTACCCGGTGGAGGGGTTCCGAGCGACAGGGGGAAGAGGCAGAGCAGAAGGCGCGGGGACAGGAGAGAGGGAGAGACAGACAAGAACCACTTGTCACTAACGCAGTGGACTGTCTCTAGAAGCAGGGAGAGAGGAGTGAGACCAGAGAACCAGAGAACCAGCAGGAGAGGACCCAGAGGAAGACCAAAGCCAGAGCCAGCTCTGTCCTGGAGAGGGGTCTGCGTGTGAGTGGGGAGGGCAGTGCCACTCATGGGGGCCGCCAGGCAGGGGCCTCGCTCGCTCGTGAGGAGGTGCCATCCGGGGAGGGGGCAGGGGAGGAAAGCATTGGGCCCGGTGGGTGCATTTTAATTTGGAGGCAAAGCAAGAATCAAGGCTTTGGGGCAAGGGCAACAAATTCCACCTACTCCGTGTGGTCAGTGGAGGGTCAAGCAAGACTGAGTGGGGAGCTGGAAGTAGAGGATCCCCGTCTCTACTCCCATCTTTAAAAACAGGTTGGGGGCCTGGGTCAAGGCTATGGCAGCCCCTCCACAGTGCAAGGCCGCCCCCTCCTCCCCCACCCTGTCTCCTTTCTTTTGTCCGAGCAGCCAGCACCCAGGTAGCCCGGGAGGGCACCGGGCACAAATGGATTTCCGTGTTTGCAGTTAGCAGGGTTATAACCCAATCCCTCCTCAAGCAAAGTTTCGCCACAGTCCCAACTTTATACAGCAGCCCAAATCTCAGTGGGGCTTGTGGTGGGGTCTCTGGGATTTACGCCACAGGCTGCGGGGGGGTGGGGCGCGGCGCCTGGGGCAGGAGGCTGGCTGGTCCTCTGGCTGCTGGGTCCTGCTCAGGGCTGGAAGGGTTCGGTGCCACAGGCTGGTGGCCACACCCCTCACCTTCTCCAGGGTCTCAATCCGCTGCTTGAGGAGCCGGTTCTCTGTCCGAAGCCTCTATGTGGGGAGAGGGGAGAGCACGTCAGAGCCCGCCGCCTGCTTCTGTACACACAGACGGCTGTCCCTGCAGGGCTAGGCCACCTCCCGGCAGGACAGCGCCAGTGTCTCACGCTCTAGGTCAGTGATTCCAGAAACCAGTCAAGGCCAATTCCTGTTTGGAATGGTCCACCAGGTGTTTTTTTAAAAACAAACCCTGGTTCAGTAAAAATAATGTGATCACTTTGGTGGCTATGCACTGTGTGTGCAGGGGGGTGGGGGGCGTGGGGGGGGGGGTCCCTCCTCCGGAGTCTGTTTCTACCCCACGCTTGAGCCTGTCAAGGGCCAATGTGACGCCTCCCACAGGGCAAAGGCCTCTGTGTTTTGGGGGAAGCCGCTCACAGACAGGCCCCACCCCTCACTGCTTCACTTGGAGCGCCAGGGGTGAATTCTCAGAGGACAAAACTGGTTCACATCTGCCTTGCACCTAGTTTCTAACTACGTACCCCTTAAGCAGTGGGTACAGAAATAGTTTTGATCGGCGGATTAGTGAGGGTCCTGCTTCCCTGTGGATCACACAGAACACTGCCTGGTTTCTACCGGGGAGAAACAGGCGATGGAAACACCCAGAGCACTCCCAGGAAGCAACTGTGGTCAGAGAGGATTGCAGACTTGATTGATGGGCACTGACTCATGTCATGGGAGGGGAAACTGAGTCAGAGGCAGGCAGTGTCTTGCCCGAGCCTCCCAGCTCGCTGGGGTTAGAGCTGTTGCCGGCACAGCTCTCTCCGTTGCTCATAGGGATCCAGAACCAGAGTCCTGACCCCTGACCCCTGGAATGTCTGCCCCCTTTCTGGCCTCAATGCATTGATGCCACAAGCTCAGCCATCCCCGGAAGAGCTGGATGTGCCGACCAACAACTCACCTCTCTCCTCTTCCTCCCAAGGGAAAACCAGACAGAGAGTGAACAAGGACTATGGGGGCCTATGTACTAATCACACTATTAAATTTTTTTTTCTTTTTTTGCCATGTGGCATGCAGGATCTTAGTTCCCCAAGCAGGGATTGAACCTGTGGCCCCTGCAGTGGGGGCGCAGAGTCTTAACCACTGGACTGCCGGGGAAGTCCCTTTTTTTCTGTATTTTTGATGTTTTGACATCCTGTGGCATTGCTAATCCTGGAGACACCACCCCTCCCAGGGCTAGCTAATTCCTAGGGAGAGTAGACAACCTGTCTGCTAGCTTGCCTTCCACAGGCAAACCAGCCAATCCAGAGCCTATGCCCCCACCCACCTCCCTTATCTAACTCTCGCACACCAAGCTAGTGTTTCCCCTGCTCTCAATTGTTCCAGGACAGCTAGGGACCATCCCTATAGCCCAGAGCCTGGAAATTATTCAAACTAGGCAATCCTGAACTCTCTTGAACTTGCCTACCCTGCCTTGCCCAGCCCTTCCTGTGGAAACCACAATAAGGGCTCTGGCCCATGCTTTTCTCCTTCTGCCTCCTGACCCACCCTGGTGCTTCCTCATGTGGCCCTGCGTGCAGAGGTGTGCCCCCTCCTGTGAGTAATAAACTCTTCTTTTGAAGGCAGTTGTCTCTGTGTCTGTCACCTCACCATACCTGATTAAAACAAATCCCAGGTACATTTTTAAACAGGTGAAAGGTGAAAGGGCACAGGGCAGGGTCAGGGGAGAAGGCATCTGCCCTGCCCTTGGGGCACGCAGTCTCCTCTCGTGATAATATTCCAGGCTGGGAATGTGGTTTAAGGATCCACTGTGTCCCTCCCTACTGCTGAGCCATCATGGTCACCATATGGCAGCAGGCCCTTGTCTGTGCATGAGCAAAACACACATACACGTTTGGACTGGTGCATCAGTAAAGCTGCCATTCCTGAGAAGGGGAGATGCTTAAAAATTCAGGACACAAGACTATTTCTCCAAAACTTACAAGAGGGCCAGGACAATGATGTCTTCTTTCGCCACTCAGGTATGGGTGGCAGGTGACCTGGATTCTAATCTAGGTTCTGTCTCTGCCTTTCTAGAGGAGGTAGGGATGACGATGATGGAGGTGGTTAATAATAATAATTATTTGAACAGGAGAGCGTCATCCCTATTTTGCAGAAGGGGACACTTAGGCTCAGAGAGGTGAATTCACCTTCCTGGCAGGTCACACAGCTGCTCTGTAGGAGAGCTGGGATTTGAACTCTGGTCTGTGGAACTCCAGTCCCAGCCACTGTGGGACTCTGCCCCTGAAGAGGACAGAGCCAGGCTGTGCCGGTGTTTGTGTTTGTGTCTGTCCCCCACCTCCACTGGACTGGGGGGGCCCTCAGTCCTGCTGTGACTCTGACACACAGTGCTCACTAAACGCCTCTTGAGGGAATAAACAAAATCACGTCTGGAGGGATGACAGCAGAGGGAAGGAGATGGAGGGACGTCTGGGTTCAGAGGCTCTGCACACCCAGAAAACCCTCTACAATATTGTCATTTACAAGGAATATATACTTGGTCTTTGTCCCTTGTCCTGGCACAGGCTCCTAAAACCCTGGGAATTTCCTAAGTGAGGAGAGGAATAAAGGTGTCTTTGTTATGTTAATGAGATGACTTTTGGAAAGCCCCACCCCCACCCACCCTAAGGATGGTGCTGCTTGCCAGGGGACCCAGTCCTGTGATGAGAGGGTTGGACCTTTCAGTCCCAGCCTGAGACCACTGGGAGGGGAAAGGGCTGGAGGTTGAATCTCAGTGGTCCTGTTCACCACCGTGTCCCCAGTGCTGGGGAGTGGGGTGGGCCCTTGCTCCCATGCCGGCCTGGTAGTGAGTGAAAGGACAGGCAGGCCGAGGGACCACCTCTCAGAGCCTAAGGACCCCCTGCTGTGTGGCCTGCGCTGGGTGGGCTGCCCTCTAGCGGCCGTCGAAGGGGCTCCCAAGGGCATATCCACCACCACCACCACCACCACCATCCCCCCTTTCCCGCCAACACTGCCCAGGCCAGCCGGGGACTCACTTTGATCTCGATCTGCTCCTCCATCTCCTTGCTCTTCATGGCTGCGTACTCCTTCTCCAGCCTGCAGAGGGGAGGGCCGACGTGCTCACTGTCCCACCCTCGGGGACACCCCTTCTGCCAGCACCCTGGCCTCCCGGTACTGACCTCTTCATCTTCTTGGGGTTGTACTTGACCTGGTAAGCCTTGAGGATCAGCTTGTCCGGGCAGCTGTCGAACTGATGGGGGATTACCCTCTGGAAGTACTGTGGGGACACGGGTGGTCACGGACACACGGGCCCTGACCGCCTGGGGCCACCCGAGCCCCTGCAGCACACTGCTCCCCTGGAGGAGGGCCTGGGTACACCAGGAGGGATGGCCAGAGCCGGTTGGCCTGGGCCCTCGCCATCACCTGGCCTGTTGTGTGGGTCGAGTGAGCGAGTGTGAGAAGCAGGAATCATGAGAAGGAGCTGCCTGCAGCCAGGACCTCTGTGTGCAGGGAAAGTGGCTTCGGGAGCTCCTGAGGGCGAAGGCCAGGTGTGGGTGTGGCTGGGGTCCGAGCACAGAGGACCTTCACGGAGGAAGGGGGAGACATGCCGCTGCCCCAGGGTCAGTGAGAGGAGACGGAAGAGGCTGAAGGATCGGGGTGGTGTGGAGGAAGCCAGAGGGAGGACCCCTCAGTGGTCTGCCTGCTCGCCTGGGGCCCCGGGAACCTCCGCAAAGAGTTAAGTGCAAGCTGCCGGGTGGACACAGCTTGCTGCAGTTCGGGGCCAGGCTGGCTCCCGCGCCCTAGCCCAGCTGGCCCCTCTGGCAGCTGCGGACAATGGATGCCCGTGTTCATGGACACAACTGTGGCCTTTGTGCATTCTTCCCTGAAGCACCAGCTGGAGGACGCTGGGAGGGGGCGGGGGCCTGCATGATGCGGACATGGCGGTGAGATGCAGTCCGGCCTCTTCTCAGCAGGCAGGGCAGCTGGGGTAGGCTGTGGTGGGGCAGGGCGAGAGTCTGCCCCAGACCCCTCACTCCCTCCTGTGCCATCACCCGGCCTGGCTGCTGGGGCCAATACCACACCCAAGGCCTCCTGGTTTGGCCAGTATCACTATTTGCCATGTTAGGCTCTGGGGACACAGAGCTGGGGGCAGGTGAAGCGGGGGGACTCCCAGGGCTCGGCCTGGGCTTTCCTCTCTCCCTGCTGCCAGGCTGCTGGCCCTGGGCTGTGTCTGGCAGAGCCTGGGGCTCCTCAGGCACCCCCCCAACCCGGTCCTCCATGGACACCTGGTGGGGGGGCAGAGGTGATGGGAAAGGATCAGGGCGCTCAGGAAGTCCAGGGCCTCCCCATCTCTCAGAAGGTCTCCACCTGCCCAGGTGCCCCTGCTGGGGGGCAAGCCTGCCCCCCCTGGCCCTCCTGGCCCACCTGGGACATCCCCTCCATGTCCAGCTGCATCAGCTCCATCTGGTTCACCTGCAGCAGGGCAAGGCCCACCCGGAACACGATCTCCAGGCCCTGCGAAGGAAGCGGGGGTAGTGCATCTCTGGTCATGCTCTCCTGGGGAGCCCTCCGACCCCTCCCTGAGCCCTGCAATCATTTCCACTCCAGCCAGAGTGGCAAGGAGAGGAAGGGGCTTGTGGTCCTCACCTCGTACATGAAGATGTCAAAGACACGTGTGGCGACGGGCAGTGGGAAGGTGGTCAGCAAGAGCGTGAGGAACCAGGAGGAGGCATACATAGACGTGTGGAAGCTCTGGGAGCGGAAGTGGGTGTTCAGGTCTGGGAGCTGCTCCTGGGGTGGGGGTAGGAGGCCAGGTGCCATGAGGAGGGTGCTGGGCACAGCTGTCGGCACCACAGGATCCCTCCACCCGGAAGTGCTAGGCCTCAGTGCCTGCACCTCCAGGGAGCCTTCCTTGACCTGCCCTGGGCAGCCCCCCGCACTGTCTCTGGGTGGGGCGGCAGCACCCCAGAGCTCTGAGTAGCACTAGGTGGGGACATGCGCAGGGATGGCAGGAGGCCCAGCTGCCCGTGGGACCCTCACCACCGCCCCCCACAATGCTCTGTGCTTTGTGCCCAGCAACGCTCAAGGGATGCCTGTCTGACTGGTCTGAACTTCAGACTGCTGGAAAGCGACAGAAACTGGGGGAACTGAGGCTGGAGAAGGCGGTAGGACCCCCTGGAGGTCCTTCACTGGGAGAACACACCCTCGGGCTGTCCCCCGGCCTGCCCTGGGCTTCCTGACTCAGGAGCTCTCTGGTGGAGGCCAGCTCCTTCACCACAGGAGCTCTCAGCTCCCCAGCCTGGGGTGGGATTGCTCCTTCTCTGTGGCCCTGGAACACCTGCTTGCTGGCACTACCGATCCCCTCGACCGACAGCACCTCCCCATCCTCTGGGCCTGAGGAAGGGGGCTTTCATGACTGGGCGCGTCCTGCCCACTGTGGCGCAGAGCTGCACAGCCCCACCTGCGACTGACTTCCAGAGCAGGCGCGCGTGTGTACACACATATACCAGCTTCCAGAGCAGGCGCGCGCATGTGTGTGTGTGTGTACACACATATACCGGCTTCCAGAGCAGGCGCACGTGCGCGTGTGTGTGTACACACGTATACTGGCTTCCAGAGCAGGCACGCACGCGTGTGTGTGTACACACGTATACCAGCTCTCTCTGCCAGCCAGGAGCGGGCCCTGTGGGGCTGCTATTTATAAACAGAGGCGGCTGCGGTTCTCCAGTAATCAGCAAAGGCAGGCAGACAACACCTTCCCTCCTTCTGCCACACCAGGGAGCTGACAGGAGGGCGCCGTGGGTGTGTCTGAGCCAGGCTGACCCCTCCACCCTGGCCGTAATGGCTCTGGGAGCCCCGAGCTCTGAGGATCCCCCAGTGGAAAGGGCTGGCCCCTGCCTGGTCCCTCAAAGCATCCTTCAGGGCAGTACTTTACGGCCCCTTGGGGAATAGAGCCCCTCTCTGAGTTGGAACGTCTGGATGTGATTTCTCAGGCGTGGAATTTTCAGTCAAAGAGACTCACCACGACGGCCAACGTTAGCACCCGTAGGTGTGGGCTGGTGGAGAGGAGGGGGCAGGCGGGACCGCCCCTGGGCCCACTCACCTGTAGCATGTACTCGAACTGGTAGATGCAGAGCCCCAGCTCTGCCATGCTGGGCTTGAAGAGCTCCCGCAGGCGGTACTCCTGCATCAGCCGCACGAACACACAGAAGGCCTCCTCCTCGGGCATCTGCGGGTGGGCGGGCAGGGGGCTGTGAGTGCAGGTGGGGGGGCGGGGGCGCCCACTGCTCTTCTTATGGCTTCGCTTGTCTCTGCTCCATTTACTTTTATTGAACGTGGACAGTGCCGGGCTGCCCGGACCCACACAGCAAACCTCTCTGGTAAATATCATCACCCTGTTTCAATGACAGGAAGCCTCTTGAGGCTGAAGTCACCTGCCCAAGGCTGCCTGGCCGGAAACAGTGGAGCTGGGACTTGAACCCCAGGTCTGGCCACCTCCAGAGCCCACGGTGGAGGCATCCTCTGGTCCATTCCCAGCCGTCTCCATTCTCCCCCTCCTAAGCCTGCTGGATTCTCTGGAGGAAACCCCGAGCCTCATAAACATCACACTGGCTGACCTAAGCCTGAATGTCCCACCCAACCCTGGGGGGTGACTGAGTAGGACGGCCTACCCCTCCCTCCAATCTTGGGATGGGACAGGGGACAGAACAGGTGGCCAGCCTTCTGTGCTCACCCCCTGGGGGCCTGGCTGGGAGACTGTCAGAGGTCACAGGTGGACACAGAGGGAGGTTCTGACCTATGAGGACACCGGATGGAGGGAACACTCTCCTTTTGTCCACCTCCTGGGGGCAGACAGAGCCGGGATGGGCCAGGCCCAGGCCACCTACCTGCATGAGGAGCAGGCCCACGATGAAGGCGCTGCCCTGGCAGTAGCCCACCTCCCGGTCCACCAGGGAGTAGGCCTGCGAGGGAACACATGCGAGTCAGCGCAGGGTCCTGCCAGTCCTGATGACCGTAGCAGTTCTCCGTGGGGCCAGGGGGCCTCACCTTCATGACATTGAAGAGCACCTCCTGGCCCAGGCTGTCCTGGCCCTTGAAGAACTCATGCTCTGGGTAGGTGCGGGCAATGTCCCTGCGGATGAGCTTCTCGCAAGGTGAGGACATCTTGAGCAGCTCCGAGTACTGGTTCTTGACTGGCATGTCTGTGGCGCTGCACAGGAGCTGCCACACGATGGCCCGGAAATGGTGCGGGATGCCCTTGCGGATCAGCTCCTGGCGACAGGGTCAGAGTGGGGGTGGGGGGGTCGGGGGGTGGGATCGAGAGGCTGGGCTGGACCCCATCCCAGTGCAGCCTCCCCATGGCCGCCCAGCCCGGCCTCTGAGACTGGGTCCACCCACGCCTCACGGCGGGCCCAGAGCTTGGCCGAGCCACTGCACGGCACGCGGCGTCCATGAGGCTGAATGCGCCGCCCCAGCCCATCACGGAACTCACGGGCGGGAAGCAGGAGGGTGCCTGGGGTGCCAGCCCCTCCCTGATCTCCACACCCATCCCCCCCGGCCCTGGCAAGGCACCCCGAAAATGCCCACACACCTCCAGTCCTGCCCTCACTCATGCTGGGGCCCCTGGCAGACGTTGCCCACCCCCCCGGCCGCCCGCCCAGCCCCGCCGCCTGGGCCACCTTGAGCAGCTTCTCCTTCCTGCGCCGCCACTCCTCCCACTCGTTGGCAATCCGGCCCCACAGGATCCATGTGTCCTCCTCCAGGTGGCTCAGGTTGGAGGAGGCTGAGGAGCTGGACACCAGCGAGGAGCCGCTGTTACGCCGGGAGCCATTCATGGAGCGCATGGACTTGGAGTCGGCTTCCAGGAGCCTGGGTGTGGCAGGGGGGGAGGGTGGAGGCTGTAGGATCTTCCCACCCTGGCCCCTGGGTCCCAAAGAGCCTGGCCCCCCCTCCCTGGTGTCCCAGAGGATACCAGGGATTGGGTCTAAGTTGTTTTTCCTGAGCGGCACTTGCTGAGTGACTTTCGCCAGTGCCCTAACCTCTCTGAGCCCTGGTCCTGATCCCGGGAGCCCTGGAGAGGCTGCCATTCATGTGGCCCATTCTGTGCCCGGCCCTGGGCTGAGAAGCATGGGGAGTAGCTCATTTAGTCTCGTACCAACCCTGTGGGGCGAGTTTTGTAAAGATTTGTTTACAGACGAGGTACAGAGAGGGTGAGATGCTGGCTGGGAGCACCCAACTAGCAAGGGGTTGCATGAACCACCTATTTCTGAGGCTTTGACATCTGGGGCCTCCCTGACGCAGGAGGGACTGCCCCTCCCAGGCCTAGCAGATTCCTAGAGATAATTAAGGACTTGCCTGCTAGTGCACTTTTCATATGCAAACCAACCAATCCAGAACCCACAAACCATCCACCTCTGTTAGGCTCTTGCACTCAGGGCCACTATCCCTCTGCCCTAATCACCCCAGGGCCGGGTACTAGACAAATAGGCCCAGCCCCTACGCCCCCAGCTTGCTGAAGGTGTTCAGACTAGCCAGTCCTAAGCCTGATTACATTGCCTCACCATTCCTTCTGGCAGAAACCACAATAAAGGCTCTTGCCCACATTTTTCTCATTCCCTCTGCCTCCTGACTGACCCTGGTGCTTCCCCGGGTGGCCCTGCACGGTGCATGGTGTGTTGTGCCCCTCCTCTTGGAATCTGTGCGTAACAAACTGTGGGGTTTTTTTTTTCTGGCCATGCCGCGCGCCATGTGGGATCTTAGTTCCCTGACCAGGGATGGAACCCGCGCCCACTGCAGTAGAATTATGGAGTCTTAACCACTGGACCACCAGGGAATTCCCCAAACTGTCTTTTTAATGGCAGTCATCTCCTGATCTGCTGGCCTCACCATACTGGCATAATAATAAAACCTACACTTTAAAACAGGGGGTGGGCCAGAGGAGAAGTGGGAAGGGCCAACTCCAGAGTCAGAGGATTTACTCTTCCCTTCAACAAAGGCTAGAGAAGTGAAGGCCAGGTCCACTGGGCCCCCTGATACTGTGGCCTCCTCATCTGAATGGGAGAACCGTCTGGTGGGAAGTGACAGCAAACATCCTTGTCAGGCCTCTGTTGGGAGCTGTCACTTGGCCCAGGGCCAGGCCTAGCTCTGAGTGTGAGGTGGCACCAGCAACTTCTGTTTGGGGCCCAGGCTATACCCCTGGGGCCTCTCCCTTTCCCTCAGGTCCCAACTTACCGGTTCTGCTCTTCGAGTTTGGCCAGTAGCTCTAGCTCATCGGGGCTGAGGTTCTCAGAGTCAGAGGTGGGGGAGCAGGTGGGGGCCGACAGGGCCTCCTGAGACGAGGAGTCGGGGCTCAGAGTGGGGCTCGCCATGGTGGGCAGGCTCCTCAGCCGCGAGCAGGGCCAGGTCACAGCTCTGTCTGGGGACCAGAAACATGTGTGGTCAGCTTTGGGCAGGGTGCCCACCCTGTCCCACCGGTTCTGGACAAGTGAGCCTGCTGGTCACCCAGAGACATTTCCTCGCCCCGGGCTTCCCACCTTTGGTCTGTCCACTTGGTCACTCCTCATCCCCACGCACCCCAGTCTAGCTGACGGCCTGGCCGGCTCCTTCTGCCCCGGGGGCTGGCTACTGGGATCCCTGCCTTTGTAGTCCAGACGCCTGGATGAAATCAGGAGGGCAACGGCCAGCGCCTGAGCTGTCCTGCTGTCCCTGCGCGTGAACACCAAGTCTCAACTGACACCCTTGAGTCTTCAGCAGGGCCAGGGGCCAAGGCTCCCCGTCACACTCAAGAGTCCCTGCTGCGACCTTGGGGGTGCTGATGCCCCTGCTTTGGTGGCTGTTCCTGACAGCTTTGGTCCCTGTCCCCAGCTGTGGCCTGTCCTGGGAGCCCTGCCTCAGCATCTGACCTTCCCTGTCTCATCAACCAAAGTGGGCTGCTGGCACAGCCGGAAGCAATTATTCTCTACTGTTAATTGTCTGGTGCTGCCAATGGTCAGAAGAGTCAACTCCCCTTGGGCTGGGAAGCCAGGGACATTATCAAAGTGCTAGGAATCGCTGCTCTGATGGCGTCAGAGTGAGAGCTACAGGCTCTGATCAGTATCCTGCTCTTGGCCTGCCATGTGCCAGGTGGGTGCCGGCCCATCTCTCCTACTCCTCCTGGGGATGGTCCAGCCCCACCCTCCTGGGAGCCTCAGGGACACTGGCTCCAGCTCAGCACTGTGCCGAAAGCAAAGGCTCTGGACTCAAATGGAACAGCGTCTGAAGTGTGGCTCTCCTTGGACCTCACCTGACCTGGCTCTGACAGCTCAGCCACAGAGGGGCCCTCGCCCAGTTCCTGGAGAGGGGGCATCTGGTCTCCAGGCAGCAGGAGGACAGTCACAGGACAAAAGCAGCCCATTTTGCACCTGCCTGGCACCCTCAGGTCACTGAGCACCTTCCCACAGCCCAAGCTCAGCCCCCAACCAACACCTGAGGGTCCACAGGTCAGCTGGACTTGATCCTGGCCATGCACTTGATTCTAGTCTCCTTCCCTTGTGCTCCCCTGTCAAGGGGCAGGGGGCACCATTTTTCTTTCACCTCGTGGGGGGCTCATAATCCTCCCACCCCAGGACTCTGTGGCTCCCCAAGGCTACTGGTTCTGCTTCTGGCCCCTGAGGGCCCCCCGAGTTTGTCGGGCACTGAGGGCTCTAGCTTTCGGTGAGTGGTACAAACTCTAGGCGATGGCTCCCATCAGAAGCAGAAGACCTTTTCCTCCTGTTGCCCAGCTGGCCGGGGACAACCTGCCCCAAAGACCAAGCCACGGTGCACCACCAAGCCAGGAGTTAATCATTCCTGAGAGAGGGACAGTGGGGGCTGCTCCGGGGCTTCCCGCAAAGTCTGTGGCTGGCCTGGGGCGGAGACGGGCCATGGACAAGGAGTGGTGACTTGGAAGGATCTCTCTGGGCAGGGAGGGGCTGGGAAGGCCGCGTAGGTTTCCCACCTTCAGAGCTGGGAGAGGGGAGTAGGTGGTGGAGGCGAGGATTGGAGCCCCATAAGCACAGCTGGATTTGGGGAGTAGTGGGGGCCTCAGAGACAAAGACCACACGTGGCCAGGGCTGAGGTCCACTGTCTCCGTGCTGAGCCCAGGGGACCCCAGCCTCAGAAGCACATTGCCTTCCCCCGCCAACCCCAACCCTGGCCTGCAAAGAGCCCAAGAGAATGGTTCAGCTCTGGGTTTCCGATTAAAAGAAACTACTAGGGCAATCCACTAGCAGAGTTTGCTCAGATACTTATCACAAATTAATGTGTATTTCATACAAGAAATAAAATGTATTCAATACCCAGCGCTTAAATTTGCAGTCTGAGAGGCAGAACCTTCTGGTCCCTCAGGAACCTTCTCTTGACTCATCCCCATACTCTCTAAATGCTGCGCAGCCCCAGAAGCCAACCTCCTGATGCACGCACAGAGACACACACTCCTTCACACACTTACCCACAACCTCACACCCCACACACTCAGATACATTCACACACACACACTCTTACCCACAACCTCACACCCCACACCCTCAGATACATTCACGCACACTCACACTTACCCACAACCTCACACCCCACACTCAGATACATTCACACACTTACCCACAACCTCACACCCCACACACTCAGATACATTCACACTCACAAACCACCTCACACACACAGTCTTGCGTGCACATGCACACACGCTCTGACATACACTCACACAGTCGCAGACCTATGCACTGATACACAATCACACACTATCTCACACCCACACACCGCTTTGCCCATACGTGCACACGTACACACACACACGCACACTTCCTGCACTGACCAGGTCTCGCCACGCCTGGAACCGAGTACATACGGATGGACATGGGCTTACTGCCCTCCTAGCTCTGTGAGCAGCCCTGTCCCTTCTCCAGGGTGCCCGGACTCTTACTGCCTCAGTCCCTCCTTCCCTGGCGCTTACTGGGGGTCGTCTGAGGGCCAGGTACTGTTCTAGGGACAGGGATGTGGAGTGGAATGAGGCAAATGAGCCCCCATCTCCCCAGGGCACGCGGCCGCCCTACCCTTGCTGGATGGGCACAGAGACGCAGAGATAAGCCAGGTCCCCTTGAGTGCTGAGGGGCCACTGGCCTCTGAGATCCACACACAGGCCCTCCAGGTCTAGGGTTCCAGCCTCTCAACGGCCCCATTTCAACGCCCTTTGTTTCTGCTTCACTGCAGCCATCCGAAGGGGGTTCCTGGCTCCTGCGGAGTGGGCAGTGGGCCACCTAATGCCGTCCCTGCTGGCATCACCGCCCGCCACGCCCTTATAAGGTGGCCCATGGCTTAGGAAGCTGAGCCAAGCCAGAGGGGTGGGAGAAGACTGCCGGTGAGCTGGGGGTGGCACCCCCCCCCGCCACGCCCTTATAAGGTGGCCCATGGCTTAGGAAGCTGAGCCAAGCCAGAGGGGTGGGAGAAGACTGCCGGTGAGCTGGGGGTGGGGTCGGGGGGCAGAAAGGTCCAGATGCTGGGGACCCTCCACCTCCCTTTTCCTCTCCCTCGCAGGGGCGTTTGGACACTGCCAGTCATGCTTCCTCCTTCTTGAAGTACTCTCCCATCTAGTTTCCAAGAGGCCAGGGTCCTGAGGCTCCTCCTGCCTCGGCCCAGCCTGGCACCCCTTCCTCCACAGGCCCTGCTTTGGTCTTTATCCCTTCATGCCCTCGGTGAGTTCACTTTCAGGACTTAAATGACCAGATACATGTCGGTGATTGTGACACCCTCGTCCCCAGCTTTTCCTTTCTCCTGAGCACCAGCCAAGATTGCCAACTGGCTCCAGAATGGCTCAGTCAGATCCACCACTGGGGTAGGAATCACCACTGTCTGGGTCCCTGCTACTTCTGCGACCCGCACTGAGCCTGGTACAACCTGAGAGTCAAGAAATATTGGAGGAATAGAACCTGCCTGTCCACCCACCGGTATTTCCTTAGTGCCAGTCAGGTCCTGGGCACCATGATGAGGGCTGAATACTGCTGGGCAAAGACAGAAGCAGCCCCTGCATGCCCAGAGCATACAGGGGTGGGGGGGCGGGCAGAGACCAAGAGATGATCACCTGCGCTTTCTATTACAGATTGAGAGAAACGCATGGAATAAAAGATAAGGTAGAGTGGAAAACAGTCTGGCAGTTCCTCAAAAAGGTAGACAAAGAGTTGCCAATATGACCCAGCAATTCCGCTTCTAGGTTATCTACCTGAGAGAATGGAAAACGTACATTCACAGGAAAACCTGTACACAATTCTTTTTTTAATTCTTTTCCTGGCCGGGCCGCACGGCATGTGGGATCTTAGTTCCTCAACCAGGGATCGAACCAGCACGCCCCGCATTGGAAGCATGGAGTCTTAACCACTAGACCTGCAGGGAAGTCCCACCTGTACATGATGGTTCACAGCAGCACAATTCACGATAGCCAGAAAGTGGAAGCAACCCAAACGTCGATGGATGAATGGATAAATGAAATGTGGTCCATCCAGACAATGGAATGGTATTCAACCATAAAAAAGGAAACTGATTTTTTTCGGTGAACTCTTTCCTGGCAAACCACCCTGCCCCCGACCACCTCCAGGGTTCTGGCTCACTTCTCTCCCCTCTCCCCCAAAATACCTACCCCTATACCCCAGCCCAAGGCACATTCTATGGCAATTCCTACCATACACGCCTGCCTGCCCTACTGGGTCATGAACCTTCTGAGCGCAAAGGCCTATCTTCTTAATTTTCTACTCCAAGCCCCTAATGCAGCATCTGGCCAATAGTAGGGGCTCAATTAATGTCTGCTGGATGAAGTAAGAGAAAAACCCCTGTGCTGCTCAGCCAGGTGATCAAGGTCAACACCATCAGTGATAAGTCATGTTGAGAGCATGTGCACTTGATACGCTGACATGAGAAGGGCACTTCATCTCTGGGCCTTCCTCCCCAAGACTATGAGAAAAACATGTGACCAATCCAGATTAGGAGACACTTTAGAAAATTCCTGACTAGTCCTCCTCAAAACTGTCAAAGTCATCAAAAACAAGGAAAGCCTAAGAAAACTGTCCCAGATAAGAGGAGCCTCAGGAGACCTGACAAAATGTCCTACGGGATCCAGGAACGGGCCCTGGGAAAGAAAAAGGAAATTAGGGAAAAACTAAGGAGATCTGCATAAAGTATGGAGTTTAGTTAATAATAATGTATCAATATTGGTCCATTAATTATAACAAACTTACCAGATGATGTTACTAATATGGGGAAACTGGCTGTGAGTCTGTGAGTGTGGGCTCTGTGGGAATGCTTTGTACTATCTTCTCAATTTTTCTTTTTTTTTTAAGAAATGATGAGAGATTACATCTATTTA